CCATTAGCACAGAACATGGTTTCATTTTATTTTATTTTGAAACAAGGCCTCATGTAGCCTAGGTTGGCCCTGAGCTCATGATATATAGCTGAGGATGACCTTGAACCCCTGACCTTCTGCTTTCACCTCCCCAGGGCTGGGATCATGGGCATGGGAGCCCAGTTTTAGTTTTGTATCTCCCATATTTGGACAAAACCCTCACTTGACCCCCTAGCCCCTTCCACCCAGTGCTAATTCTCTGGCTTCCGTCACATAAAAAATTGCCAACAAACTGCTCCGGCTCCAGTTCTCTAAGCCACTGGCCCCACTTACTGTGTATCTATTCACTGGGATGGCACATCCTCCTAGACACCTCCCCCTCCTCAGTGAGGCTGCTCCAGCCTACTTGCTCCAACTTCCTTGTTGGCTAATCCAGGGCCATCTGTCCTCATATCACATAATTCATCTCTTTCCTGCACCCAGGGCCGGGACTGCACCCAGGGCCTTCCATAAACAGCCTGCCCCCACGGCTGCACCTACAGCCCTTTCCTCCCAAAAATGATCCCCTGTTGTGTTCTGGACACACCTGGATTTCCTCTACCTCATTGTCTACTCTATCCTCTGGGACAGAGGTTTAGAGATGATATCACACTATGTTGAACCTGCTTGAACTCTGGGCTCAAATCTTCCTTCCTTCTGCCTCAGCCTCACAAGCAGCTGGGACCACTAAGGAGCATAGCCCTGCCCCTGGCTTCTCCACCAGCCCTTCTATGGGAGAAGCCAAGGCCTGGGGTTGTTTCCTCCCTCCCAACCCTGGCTATGAACCCTCACAGGTGACTCTGGTTCCCTCCCTAGAGCTATCCTGAGCCCACTCAGATTCAAGCTCTGCCACTAAGTGGGCAGAAGAGCAGAGGTTTGGCAGCCAGGCCTGATTCCTGTTCTCTCTAGCCTCTGGCATTCTACTTTGCAGCGAGTCTGGTCAATTTCACCTCCATAATATGCGTCAGACAGGCCCCACGTCTCATTGACACTACCACTGGCTCATTTTAGCCTCAGCACCAAGAGCCTGGGTCCCCCACTAAGAGGCTCTCATACAGCCTCTTAGAACCCATGCTTGGCCCATGATAGTCTGCTTTCTACTGAACACCGGAGAGGACCTCTGCATGGATAAACAAGACTAATTAATTAATTCATTTTAATTAACTGACAGGTTCTCCCTAGGTAGCCCAGGCTGTCTCTTCAGTGGCAGAAGACAACCCCAGCTCATTGCTACAGCCAGGCTTTTCCCAGCCCTCAGCTCATCTGTCCCCGCCTGTGGTGGCCCTCTGGCTCTAGCACACTCAGCTGTGGCCAGCCTCAGGGCTTTTGCTCCTAAGCATCTGGTACCCTGGAATATCTGTCACAACCTGAGGTCTGTGTCCAGAGTCTCCTGCAGATGTCAGCTCAGATGGCCTGACCTCTGAGATCACAGTGACCCTGTTGTCACTCCAGGTCCTCAGGCTTTGTACAGAGCTTCACAACTCTTGGCGTTTGTGACTTCTGGTCTGTTTGTTGAATGATCAACAAAAGCGAAACAAAAACAAAGCAAAACCTGACACAAGTTTCCTTAGCTACGGTTTTTGTTGCTATGACGAAACACCATAACCAAAAGCAACTTGTGGAGGAAAGGGCTCGCTCCACTTACATTTCCAAATCCACTGATTTGCCTACTCAAACAGCACAGGAACCTGGAGGCAGGAGCTGATGCAGAGGCTGTGGAGGGGTGCTGCTTACTGGCTTGCTCTCCCCATGGCTTACTCAGCTTGCCTTTTGTATAGAACCCAGGACCTGCAGCCAAAGGGTGGACCCGCCCACAATGGACTGGGACTTTCTACATCAATCACTAATTAAGACAATGCTCACTGGGCAATGGTGGTACAAGACTTTAATCCCAGCACTCAGGAGGCAGAGACCAAGGGGCACACAGAAGCCCATTAGCCTTGGCCAGGTGCTGTTTGGACTACTTAAGTCCAGAGGCCTGGTGGAGCATGGCTGCCCAGCTCAGCCTCTAGATACTGTTCCCTAGGCTCTGGAAGCCCTGGTTGGCTTCCTCTCCCTTGCAGAAAGAAGAAAGTTCAAGAAGGCTTCTGGGAGGCTGTGGTAACAGGTGGAAAACCAGGGCCCAGAGAGGGTTCCATCTGAGGTAGGACCACAGAATCCCAGTCCCCCTGCCTCCTGGGAAGACGAAAGGGCAATAGAAGGGGCCTTGCTGCTGTCCTTTGCCTGCTGCTCTGTCCCAGGCTCTAGGACAAGGTCCCATTCTGAGCAAGAATTAGAATGAGTCACGAGGGTGGAAAAGGAAAGTGGGGTGTCTGGCACCCCCAGGCCCTGCCCTTTTCCTCTGCTTCTTGGCCAAGGAATCTAGTGAGTCATGGCATTCCACTGTGGTGGGCTCGCAGCCAAACTCTCTGATGACAGGGGTGAGGGTGGAGGGGAGATCCGGTCTGCTCTCCTCCCTACTCCAAGTTCCTGTCTCCTGTGCACAGACAGACACAGACAAACTCCAGACAGACCCAGATAGTCCAGGTACGAGCACACAGGTGTTCACAAGCAAGAAGGGCTTTCAACCACACTCAACCAGCAGCAGCTTACGCAGACAGGCACTGGACACACGGACAGACATGTCCAGGACAGGCACAGGGACACACACTGTCCACACAGCTATGGGGACACACTTACACAGGAGCATAGCAGGCAGACAGGTAAATTGGTAGACCCAGACAGACAAGAACCAGCAGGACAAGAACAAGCCAAAAGATCTAGGCACACAGAAACATAGCAGGACACACACACACACACACACACACACACACACACACGCACGCACGCACGCACGCACGCACGCACGCACACGTGTCCAAGCATCACAGTCACACAGCAGCTCATAGGGAAGGGGTACTCTTGGGCAAAGATAGACCCAATGCTGTGGCTCCAGCCTCAAAACTGTGGGATTGACCCAGGAAAGCAGGTCTGCCGGAGCCAGCTTCCTACCAGAGGACATGATGTCTGCTGATTCTGAGGAACCTGCCTTGCAATAAGATGGATACATGCAGGTAGAACACTGTATACATAATAAATATAAAAATCTTAAAAAAAAAAAAAAAGATGGCGACAGGCATTGGTGGCACACACCTTTAATCCCAGCATTCAGGAGGCAGAGGCAGGCAGATCTCTGTGAGTTTGACAGCCTGGTCTACAGAGCTAGTTTCAGGACAGACTCCAAAGCTACACAGAGAAACCCTGTCTTGAAAAAAAAACAAACAAACAACAAAACAAAACAAAAAAGATGGCTGCCTATTAAATAGGAAAGGGGGCTTCCCAACCAGTAGGTGTTGACACCTGTCATGGTGACATGGTGACTAAGGAGGCTTGGGGAGAGAGAGCACGGGCAAGTGTCCTGGGGACCCTGTGTTCTGGCTATGTGACCTTGGATGAGTCTGGGCTTGCTTGTGCCTCTGCCCCACATCTCCAGAATGGCCTTGAACTGGCTACAAAACTGAACTTCTGATCCTTCTGCCTTACCTCCCGAGTGCTGGGGATACAGACACAGCACAAGTGTTTATTTGTGTGTGTGCGCGTGCACACGTGTGTGCACGTGCTAGTGTAAGCAGTCTGTATGCACTAGAAGTGTGAAGACAGCCTTGTGGAATCTGCTCTCCTTCCACCATCTGGATTCCAGGGACTGAAGTCAGGTTATTAGACTTGGTGGCAAGCACCTTTACCCACCGAGCCATCCCACCAGCCTCATACTTTTTATAGCTGCTAGGCTTGAACCCAGGGCTTCACGCATGCTCAACAAACACTCTACTAAGGAAGCTGCACCCCAGCCCACATCACATCTGTTCTCTTGCGCCTCAGTTTATCTTGTGGGCTTTGTGCTCTCGGGTCCTTGCATGATGCAAATGGGTAGGTCTGCGAGTTCAGTGCTTCTGCACCCTGGTCACCAGGGTGCACCACCAAGGCCCCACAGCAGGCGTGACTCAGCCACAAGTACCCCCTTGTACTGCTCTCTCACCCTCTGCAGAGGTGACCGCTAAGGGGAGGGGACAGAGAAGACAGACTTGTCCTGGAAAACTAAGGGAATCCTGATACTCCTGCTTGCCCCTGAGCAGGCTGGGACAACTGTCCAGGTGCGGTGTCTTTCTCTGGCCCCGGGCCCAACCTGTTGGAAGAAGGAGCTTGCACAATGGGGAGGCACAAAGTGACAGCCGGAAGGCCTCAAGGGACAGAAGCCCCATTGTGTGAGGGAAAGGCAAAGGTTAGGCCAGAAACGGAAGGGGGCTCTGCAGGGGGCCCCAGCTGCCAGCGCCCTTGATGTGGGGCCCTCCAAGGTGCCTTGTGCCAAGAAGGATGCCCTTGGGCCTGGTGGAGGGGGCGGTGCTGGGCAAGGTGCCCACCGCACTGGGGAGGGCAGACCCCACAAACGGTCAGGAGTGCTGGGTCCCTTGGGTGCACTCGGCCTCCGCACCGCACCCACCTCCTGGGGAGGAGCTTTCCCAAGTGCCCTGAACCTAGGCAGCTTCCTGAATCATCCATTGGGAATTCCTGTCATTCCTGGGAGCTGCTGTGGCTTGGAGTGCCCCCCCCCAAGCCCAGGGTCACTGGGACAAGGAGATGCATGACTATTTTTCTTCCTGAAGGGCCTGGGGTTGGCTTAGAGATTTTTGCCCCTAGCTCTCTGTCAAGTCCTATACTCTGATCTCAGTTGCCTCTTAGCTACCTACCCTTCAGCTCTCTTTTCTACCTCTTAAAATCGGTTGGAAAGTCTTTCCTAGTGTCAGTCCACAATCCTTTACCCTCTGATTTGCAGTCCTGCTCCTTTAGGAGAGGCTTCCACTGACAAGAGACCCCCTCCCCCAGGAAGACAATCACGTATTCTTCCCGAAGTTGCCCCCTCAAGACCTAAGGGCTACTTCAGGTACCTAGAAGCGGCCCCGCCCTCCCACAGTCCCTGGTTGGGGCGGGTGCTGCCGGCTGGGCGGTACAAAAAGCGTCCCGCCCTGCGCTCTTCACTTGACTCGGTCTGGCAGTCTCGATCTTGGAGGCGGAGGCGCGCAGGGCAGCCTGGGTCCAGCCCACACCCCTCACCAGGTAGGGACTCTCCCTGTTCAGAGGGCAGAGGGCATAGAGAGAAGGAGCAGGGAGAAGGGGCATACTGAGGGAGCAGGACTCCGGTAGAGAGGCACAAAAGAGAGGGTCAGAGGAACTCAGGACAGAAGATAGGACAGGACAAGAGGGGGCTGAGGGGGACTAGGAAGACAGAGCCAACAATCGAAACCAAATGCGTCAGCGGGGTAGAGGGACCAAGGGCAGGGGAGAAGAATGGGGGTTGGGAATGTCAGTTTCCATTTCCTTGTCCTTGACAGTCCCTAGACAGGTCAAGGAGGGGGACCAGCTTCTTGCATGTTCCCTTTTCCCTCATGAACAGACTGACACCTAGTACTGAATTCTTCTCCGGGACTCCGGAACCAGGGTCCCATACTTCGCTTCGCTGAGCTTCCTGGGAAGGTTCCAGGTCATTTGTAGGGAGACCCACACTTGACGTGTGTAAGGAGTCTCCAGAACCCAACTCCTCTGACCCCTGACCTCTGTCCTCCCTGGGCCAGGAGGCACCATGTGGGGATGTCGGCTGGGGCTGCTGTTGCTGCTGCTGGCTGGCCAGGCTGCCCTGGAAGCCAGGCGGAGTCGTTGGCGCAGGGAGTTGGCACCAGGCTTGCACCTGCGGGGCATCCGGGACGCCGGTGGCCGGTACTGCCAAGAACAAGACATGTGCTGTCGTGGCCGAGCTGATGACTGTGCCTTGCCCTACCTGGGAGCCACCTGTTACTGTGATCTCTTCTGCAACCGCACCGTCTCGGACTGCTGCCCCGACTTCTGGGACTTCTGCCTCGGGGTGCCACCCCCCTTCCCTCCCATCCAAGGTGGGCACCAGGATAGCCAGGAGGGTGGCCACCTTGTCAATCAAGCGAAGTCCCAGGAAGCTCAGGAACAAGGCTGATAATGGACATTCCCTGGCTTTGAAAACACTCGGAAAGAAATCCTCACTGTATTTATTCCCTGCCCCTTTGGAAGTCCCTCCTCTGGTCTTCCTTGACTCTCTCAAGCAACACTGAAAGATAGAAGATCCTGTTAGGACTTAGGTGGCCTTAGGGCAGGGCAGGCAAGCTTCAGCCCTATCTCGTAGTCAGTACAGGGAAGGTGGTTGCCCCGCCTGCTGACTCACCCTGGGGCTGATAGAGCACACCCGAAGCCAGGTTGTTTTAGCCAGGCAATTTTCACCTGAGGATTCTATGCCTCTGAGATTGGCTGTGTTATCAGGTGGCTAAATCTGCTCCTGCCTTCGCCTGCACATGCCCTTTACCTGCACCACCCCACTCCAGTAGGAGAATCAGGAAAGCCCTTGATCAGGGAAGTCCTGCTGGGCTTTGGACTAAGGAGAACCCATGTCTGGGTTGCTATCTCAGAATGCTGTGCTGTCTTAAGGGAGTTGCTTGCTTCCCCTGGGCTTCAGTTTCTTTTCTCAAGCTCCTTCCATGTCCCAAGTGCAAGTCCCAACTCATCTGAGTGACAAAGGGTACCAGGAATGTCATGGCTGGCCTCCAGGTGAAACAACACGGACCTAAACCAGAGTTCCTGAACAGCTCCTGTGTGGCAGGCAGTTGGAGCTGCAGAGGTCCTAAAATACAGTATGTCCTTAGATTCAGTGAGAGTTGGAGTTGGCCTGGGATTAAGACTAGCTGGGAAGAAGGTGTTGGGCTCCTTGGCCTCGAGGACTAGTCACCTCTCTTCTCGTCCCGCAGGATGCATGCACGGGGGCCGCATCTACCCAGTCTTTGGAACATACTGGGACAACTGCAATCGATGGTGAGTAGGAGAGACCTGGGTGCGCTCTCTTTGAGTGCCACGTGGCCGACAGACTTGATTGCCAAACCCTGTCACTATTCCCGAGGGTACCCTTTTTGTATCATAGGCCTCATTGTCTTCACCTGCAATATGGGAACTTTCAAACTGGCCACGCCATCTCATAATAGGATTCTGGTCACAAGCCTAGGAGTGGTCAGCCATGGTGGTCTGGCTGGCTGCCACACCTAAGCCAGGAGCTTTTCTCCACCCACTCCTGATTTGGGCTGGCCTCCCTCCCAACTTGTCCTGCTGTCGCGGGAGAGTCCAAGAAGGGGACGCCAGGAAGGAAACCTCTGATGCAGCATCCGCTGTCCTGGGCAGGATGAGGGTCAGGGATGACTGGGCTGGCCACTGGCCAGTGGCCTGCAGCAGGGCCTTCCCTGGAATGTGCCCTCTCCCCACCCTCAAACCCCCATTCCTGGCAGCAGGAGGAAGGGGACATGGATATCTCATCCTCAGTCTGATCTGGGAAGGAGAACAGGTGGGAAATGTGGAGGCCTTACTGGAAAAGGTGGGGTCTCTGCTGCTCTGAGCCTGCCCCGCCCCTCTCTCTGCCTGGACTGGGAGCCCCAGGGAGAAGGAAACTTTTCGGAATGCATTGCACATAGCTGTTGCCTTTGCCTCACTGGGTGAGGGGTGCCAGGGTCACTGTAGGAATGGGGACAGTGTGTGTGTGTATATGTGTGTGGGGGGGGGGGTGAGGGAAGGGTGTGTGTGTGCTCAGAAGGGCGGGGCATATCTGCAAAACTCTGCTGTTCTGATAGGGTGGCTGCCAAGGGGTTAACGTTTCCATTGCTGTCCCAGGCCCCTCTGGAATGCTAGGACCTGCTGCTACCAGTCTTGTCTAGACCTGCTGAACAGCCCTGGGGCTCAAAAGATGGGGGCAGGAAGGCATTGGCTGACCCCTTCAGGACAGGTCGTGGTGGCTGAGTATCCCACTTGAGAGTGGAAGAGTGTTATGTGTCTTCCAGGCTGGACATCACCATCAGGGATGCTTCTGAAGGTCTCAAAGGCCGTTGAGGAAGGTAGAAGAGGGGGCCTCCCTACCCCCACAGGCCCCTCCAGCTCTCTTGAGCACCGCCCGCTGGCTCCAAGGCTAGAAAGCCAGCCATATTGGGGCTTGGCTCCCCTTGAGGCGCCTTATAAGGTGGCATTGTAGGCGGGTGCCCTGGGTTGCCTGGAAGGAGACTGTTTAGAATCTTGTAATAGCAGAGTTATGAGCTTGTAAAAACACTGTAGAATGCCTAGAAGTCAAGCCTTTAGTTGATGCCTAATTACTGAAGACCCACTGTGTTGCAGGTGCTGTGTTGGGCCCAGGAAGTGTAGCTGGAAGGAGACAGGCACATAGGCCTTGACTCACGGGAGCTTATTGTTTCATAGTGAAGGACATGGAAAAGCAAAAATGCACAAATGTTACGACAAGCTGCTATAGCTATTATATAGGGAGGGAAGATAAGGGATCCTGGATTAAAGTGGGGAGGGAACAAGGTTGAAAGGAAGACTGCTAGGAACTTTCTAGTGGAGTAAATAGAAGACAAAAAGGAACCTATGCATGGGGGTGGGGGACACCACTTAGGGGAAGGCAGGAGGTAGGAGAAGGTCTTCTTGGTGGGACCCTCAAGCAGCAAAGATTAGAGAAGGCTCAACCATGTCCAGCTTCTGTGTGTCTAAGGGATGTTCCTTCAAGACCTCCAGTCTAACCAGCATTGCTCATGGGTCTGTCTGGCCTCAGAGCATCTGGGGCAGGGATGGCTGCATGAGTTGGCCTGAAGTGGGCGTGGCAGCAGAGGAGGAAGGGCAGGAAGATGCACTCATGATGTGTGTCTTTGGCATGTGCTGACAGGGGACATGAAAGTTTCACCACAGACCAGGTATTGGGTCCCATGTTCTCAGAGGGAGGAGCAGACCAGGGGGAAGGCCAGTGGCTTTAATCTGAGATGCCATTACACATCCAGAGGTGTGGCCAGCTGGACATGAGCAGAAGGGGGGCCCAGGGTTCCTGAAGCATGAACAATAGTCAAAAGCACCCACATTGGGCCAAGCCCTTCAGGGACCTGCCTTAAGTCCCTGGAAAGTGGCACTGCTTATTGTCTTCACATTACAGATAAGAACATCGAAAGATGGGGTAGGGATTTTAAATAACCACCCCCCAAGCCACGAAACAGGCTGGCAGGATTTGAACTTGGGAGTTGAACTCTAAAATCTACATTCTTAGCCACTTGACTGTGCTACCTCAAGTCATTCATTCACTCAAGATATTTGCTAGGATGCAGGTTGATAATCCCAGCTAAGCAGGTGGATGCCAAATCCAAAGATACCCAGAACTCCAGAGTAATTTCAAGACCAACCTGCACAATTTAGTGACACCTGTCTCAAAATATAGTCAAAAGAGGGTCAAGGGTGTGGCCCAGAGAAGAGCATTTGCTTAACAGCCATAAGGCCCTGGCTTCTGTCCTAAAGAAAATAAAAACAAATATTTGCTGGATGCGCATCATGAAGCTGGGGAGGCAGAGACAGGCAGATCTGTGAGTTCGAAGCCAGGCTGGTCTACAGATCGAGTTCCAGGGCAATACAGAGAAAGCCCCCAAAAAAGTCTATGAGGAAATAGGGTTATGTGGGCTGGCAATGTGGCTCAGTTGGCAGAGTGCTGGCCCAGGTAAGAAACCCTAGGGTCAATCCTCTGCTCCACATTAAAGTTGTGCGTGGTACAGAAGCAGGAAGATCACACGTTCAAAACCATTATTGGGCTACATAGTGGGTTCAAGGTCAATTTCAGCTACATGATGGACGTTGTCAGAAAAGAAAAAATGAAAGCAGTATAAATACCACTAGGCCACTAGGCATTGGTGGCTAAGGGACACTGTAAGTTGGGGAAGTGGACAGAGTATGGAGGGCATTGAGTTTTAAGATAGGACAACTGGAGAAAGCTTCTGTGGGAGGTTGACATTTGGACAAGGAATCGGAGAAAACGAAAGGGAGCCATGGAAGATGTGGTTGGGAGAGCAGCTCAAAGGCACTGGGCAGGAGTTTGGCAGGTATGAACAACCACCATGGCTGGAGTCCAGGCATGGGAGGAGCAGAGGGCAGACAGGGGACAGGAGAACAGGTCACATCAGGCTTGTCACCATCAAGGACTTTGGCTCTTATTCTGTGGTGTGAAGCCAATGGGTTAGAGCAGAGGAACAGCATGGCTTGGGCTTAACAGGATGGCTATGGCCACCAATTTAAAAATATGCTTTACAGATGTGGGGTGGAACAGGGCAGAGGCCAGGACAAGGAGACCGCAGCAGTGGTCAGGTGGAAGGTGGCTGGATGGAGGTGGCTGTGGAGAATGAGGCACAGTCTGGACCCTGTGTTTGTGTTGAGGTGTGACTGGATCAGCATGTGAGGGGTCAAAGGTGACTCGGGGTTTTGAGTCTGAGATGCAGGAAGTAATAGGAGCTGGAACTCACTTTGACCCACATTAAACAGAACCTTTTGCCACATCCTCACGCTGGTGATGTTGAGGAGCATCGAGGTCCTGGGCATCTGGGATGAACTCAGAACTGTAAACTTGCTGGGCTGTGATGGACTGTGCCTTTAATGCCAGCACATTGGGAGGCAGGCACAGGCAGATTTCTGTGAGTTCAAGGTCAGCCAGTCTACAAAATGAGCTCCAGGACAGCCAGGGCTACACAGAGAAACCCTGTTTCTAAAATCAAAACAAAACGAACAAACAAACAAAAATTGTGAACTTGAGTTACAAAACCTACCAGGCTGGTTGGGATCATTTCCAGGCTAGACTATTGTTGTTGGTACAGAGTTCCAGGCCTATATGGACCTCGGAAGTTCCTCGTGGACCCCCAATCCCTACTCATGCTTTCTTGCCTTTTTTTTCCCTTACTAGTACCTGCCAGAAGAAAGGGCAGTGGGAATGTGACCAGGAACCATGTCTAGTGGATCCAGACATGATTAACACCATCAATCGGGGCAATTACGGGTGAGAGGCTCTGGGCATGGCTTTGGTGGGCACAGGAGTGTACATGCATGTCTGCATACATGATCATCAGACATGGTCATTGTGCTAAGCTCACCCACACTGGAATTTTTCTTCTTTGTCCCTTGTGTAGATCCAGAGCTTCTGGCCTTGCCAGGTCTGTAACTTCTCTTCACCTTCTCTCCTTCAGGTGGCAGGCTGGGAACCATAGTGCCTTCTGGGGCATGACCCTGGATGAGGGCATTCGCTACCGCCTGGGCACAATCCGCCCATCTTCCTCTGTCATGAATATGAATGAGATTTATGTAAGTCCGCTCTTGCCCACATCCCCACCATCTCTTAGCACATCAGGGATGGTGTACCTTATCTTGCTCTGCCAAGGGCCTATCCCCTAGGATAAAGCTGTGTGTCCATGGGCACATTAATGCCTTCTCTGGCAGTGTTGTGATTAGCTTCTAAACCTGATTCTGGCAGCAGGCCCTCCTGCCTCCTCAGCCTGGGAAAAATGCTGTTGGTCCCAGTACAGCTGGGTCAAGACCCAAGGGGCCAGGGTTCACCTTGGTATTTTAGGAAAAGAGGGATGGACAGTCTTCCAGCTCTGGCCAGAGAGCAACAATTCTCGGAAAAAATGCAGACTCAGTGAAGCCCCCAGGGAAGAGAGGGCTTCTGTTTTCCCACCAGACCCCACCAGTCAAAGGGGGGAGTGGGGGCAGGTAAAGATCCATGCAATAGGCTTGGGTGGGGCTTGTGCTGTCCATCAACACAGACAGGGAGAGGCCAGGAGACTTCTGCTGAAGGCCAGGGTGGCCAGCCCCTGGCCCTGCCTTTCTCCCTGGGGCTGCTTGCTATTTTCTGCTGTTTGTCTTGGCGGCCTGCCTGGTCACGGGACTTTACTGTTTCTTCCCACCCAAGTCCTTTGGGGCTTGGAGGCCACTGCCATGGCAGGAAGGAGGGTGTGGCTCATCAGAAGGTACAGAAAAAAGTGGCAGGAGAGTGGGAAGCTGGTGGCCCTGGCCTGGTCTTCTTTGCTACTGGCCTCGGTGCTTCATGTGTTGAGTAAGCCTCATTACCTCTGAGTGATCTTTGGGGGACCCCACTCAAGTCCAAGTCCGAAGGAACTGGCACCCTCCCCAAACCCCAGGACTGCTCCAGAACCAACTGCTGGAGGCTCTGAACTTTTCAACAGCTCCCTAAAGCTGGGGTGGGAGGAACAGCAGGGCCATGCTAGGAAGCAAGTGACATATATCACTACTGTTTTACAGACGGTGCTGGGCCGAGGGGAAGTACTACCCACGGCCTTTGAGGCTTCAGAGAAGTGGCCCAACCTGATCCATGAGCCACTGGACCAGGGCAACTGCGCAGGCTCCTGGGCTTTCTCCACAGCAGGTGTGTCCAGGGTCAGGAGCTGGCACCAGAGAGGAGGGCCATGGCCTGGCCTCTGACAGCCTTTTTTGCCTTTCCACTAGCTGTTGCATCTGACCGGGTCTCCATCCATTCAATGGGACACATGACACCCATCCTATCACCACAGAACCTGCTGTCCTGTGATACCCACCACCAGCAGGGCTGCCGAGGTGGGCGTCTCGATGGTGCTTGGTGGTTCCTGCGGCGCCGAGGGTATGCCTCAGGTTGTGGGCTAGAAGAAAACGACGAGGCACCCTGCAAAGCCTGGGCTTTCTGGTTCCATGGCGGTCACGGCCTTTGCTCCCTTCTTCAGGGTGGTATCTGACAACTGTTACCCTTTTGCCGGCCGTGAGCAGAACGAAGCTGGTACCAATCCTCGATGTATGATGCACAGTCGCGCCATGGGGCGGGGCAAGCGCCAGGCAACTTCCCGATGCCCTAATAGTCAGGTTGACTCCAATGACATCTACCAGGTCACGCCTGCCTACCGCTTAGGCTCCGATGTAAGTCTTACATAAACATGGGGAGGGGGCAGAAGCAAGAGTTGGGGGCTTGGTCGGCTAAATCTTACCTTGATGGACCTCCCTAACCAGGAGAAGGAGATCATGAAGGAGCTAATGGAGAATGGCCCTGTTCAAGGTAAATACCCCTAACCTCTCCCTGGTTCCAGAAATTTCCTGCTGGAGGTTGGTTACAAGGCCCAACGGGTCACTACAGGATTGGGCACCAGGTACAGTTGGAACAGGAGTGGAGGGTCCATTCCTCTTTCCTTGCAGGAGGCCCCTGGGTTAATCAGTCTCTAACATGAGGCCCTGGTGTCTAGATGCTCAGCATCACAGCCTGTGCTAATGAGCTGGGCGCCATCTCTGTCTCTGCCCACAGCACTCATGGAAGTACATGAGGATTTCTTCTTGTACCAGAGTGGCATCTACAGCCACACACCTGTAAGCCAGGGGAGGCCGGAGCAGTACCGCAGACATGGGACTCACTCGGTCAAGATCACAGGGTGAGGTTCCTGTTGGGCGCACAGGACTAGGAGCAGCGGGGTTTACACTGGGAATTCTTTGGAAATCTCTGTGTTCTCTGTGGAGCTAAGGCTGCTCCTCCCCTTGTCCCTGTTGCCAAGGAGAGAACAGACACAGAGAGGAGGGGTTGGTTGCAAGGGTGCATGGACAGCAGGGAGCTCTGGAAGGTGTCTAGGGACAGTGAACCACACCTGCTTGAAATAGAGCTGAGGATGCAAGAGTTGGGGAGCATACCTGTAATCTCAGCACTGGGGACACGTGGCGGAAGGAGGATCACGAGTTAGCCTTTACATAGCAACTTCAAGTCCAGTCTGGGTTACGTGAGACCGTGTCTCAGCAAAACCAACCAGCCAACCAAACAAACCAGGAAAACCCTCAAGGGTTATTCAGTACTTCTCCCAACTCTGGCCAACTCACTGAGTGGCTGAGGCCGTGCAAAGAGGGGCAGACACTCAGATTTCAGAAATGACGGGGTGGGTGAGGGGTGTTAGGTTCTGGCCCTGAGACCTGGTACAATCAGCAACGCCTCCCTCTAGGTGGGGAGAAGAGAAGCTGCCAGATGGAAGGACAATCAAATACTGGGTGAGTCCCTGGTGCACGGCTGAGTCCCATGCCCCCTGCCCTCTGGGGCCCTCTTCCATCCCTTGCCTCATGTCTTTCTCCTCTTTCAGACTGCTGCCAACTCATGGGGCCCATGGTGGGGTGAGAGAGGCCATTTCCGAATCGTGCGCGGCACCAATGAGTGTGACATTGAGAGCTTCGTGCTAGGCGTTTGGGGCCGTGTGGGAATGGAGGACATGGGGCATTAATGAGTGGCAGCCATTAGGAGGGATTCACAGCTACAGAAGAGGCCTTAGGGCCACGCCTGATGAAGCAGCAACTTGGGTGCAGTCAGGGGGACCAGGTGCTAATTCACATACACACAGATCCACTAATGCAGCACCCGGCCTGGGAGCCAAAGATGCGTGAGGCTGGTGGAGGTCCCAGGTGTCACAGCCGGAACTGGATAGGGCCTGGTATGGAAACTGCAGGGAGTGTAGATCCGAGGCTCCTGGTCCGCCAGCCCAGGACCACAGGAGCTAAGACACCCCAATCTTCCTACCACCCAACCCCATTCCCATTTCTTTTTGGTTGTTTCTGCCAATCTCCCTGACCTCCGTTCTGGCTGTACCTTTCCAAAAACCCCAGTACTGTTTTCTTAGTCTTTAAATATATTTATTTTTCTTTTCACTGTTTTAAAATAAAACCAAACTATTGATAATCACAGTGTCTTGGACTCTTTAAAGCAAGAAAACCAAGTCAGAAGTGGGGTGGCCTATGGCTAGACAATAGAAAGAACTGCCCTACAGCTGGGAACAAGGGCACAGGCTTGTGATCCCAGCTCTTGGGAGGTGGAAACATGAGGCCCTGAGTTCTAGGTTATCATTGGGTTAGGTAGCAAATCTGAGCCTTGGGGTACACAAGACCCTGACAGGAAGAGGAAGGGGAAAGATGAAGGGCAGAGCATTGCACATCACCAGGTATCAGGCAGGCTTGGGCAAACAAGAAATCTTAGTGTCTTTCTAGTTCTAACTGTCAGTGCCCAGCCACTTGGAGGAGGGCCTGGGGCCTGGATAACACGGCCTTTGACCTCCAGAGATTGTCCTGGCATGGGCAGGACCTTTCAGATGCTGAGTCAGCAAAGCATAGGAAAGGGGGGAGGGTATGGCCCAGTCCTCCAATTAACAGAAGCGATTTGGTAGGCAGAGAAGCAGGACCCTCCTGTTTCCTACTCCTGAGTCAAGCGGGGCCTGCCTGGCAGCCCTCTCCTGACTGGACACCCCAGGCTCCCAGGGCCTAAGAGTCAGTGATGTTCCATGTGGCCCCCTCCATTCTTTCCCACCCCTCCCGTCTTTCTTGTCCACTTCTTCCCTTTCTTCCTGTAAAGGTCACATGTAGCCAGGCTGTTCTCCCATGCCAGGCTGCAGCCTGATTTCAAGGCCCCAGAGACCTATCTAACTAACCGCCTACCCTGTGCCTGGATGGTACACACCAGCAGTCTTAACATCTGGTGGACACAGGAGGCTACAGAACAAGTTCAAGGCCAACCAGGACTACAGGAGACTGTCAGAATGTGACAGCCCCAGGGCCTCTCTGCTCCCCAAATGATGAGCACATACCCATACTGCAAGGACTTTCAGGTCCCCGGTCCAGACCTCCCCCCACCCCCGCCACTCACCTCTGACTGCTCTTATTTCAAAGCTAGGTCCTGGATTCTTTATTTACAAGATACCTATAAAGGGTGACTGATATGTAAGATGCTGTGCATGGGACACACCCCTCCTCCCACAGCTCTCTGCCTGCCCTTTCACCTAGTCTTTGCCTAGTCTGGGTATTTGCACTAGAAGCTCTCAGCCTAGGGCCTCCATCAGGAGTTGGTTCCTTGTTCTTCCATGGATAGAGCCTTATATAGCAAGTACCCCAGGCAGTCCTCGAACTCTCTTTCTAGCTGATGATGACCTTGAACTAACCCACCTCCCAAACACTGAAATCAGAGACAAGCACCACCACACCCTATTGACCTTCTAGTTTGTTCTTTCAACTCTCTTTCCCTCTGAGGACTAGCTGTGGGTCCCTCTGAGTGCAGAAGCAAGGGGCTGTCTGGAGGACCGGAGAAGGGAGCCCTAAGTCACCAGCACAGAGAGGACCTTACTGGGGGCCCTGGCAGCCCACAGGCATCACCTGAAAGGAATGTGGGGCAGCCCGATAAGCGGTCGCCTTTGTCTCACTTCCTGTTTGCCGGACGTCCCGAGCTCGGGCCCGGGTCAGCGTGTACCCAGGACTCAAAGCCCAGGGTGACCTTGGGACAGCAAGCGGGGAGTTCCGAGGGGGCACGCAGGCCCTGTCCTCTCCTCCATGGCTGTGGCCCAAGACGCTCCCAGATGGAAAAACCCCGGTCCTGGGAGAACTGGAAATTGCTACCAGGACCTTTGGCGGAAACCGCGGGGGGCCGGAAAGGAAAGGGTCCAGAGAGGGAAATCGGATGTGGCAGATCTGCTGGCTGAGGCTCCGCTGTGCCCTGTGGACCACTAAGGATTCTACCCGGTCCTACCAGCACCTCTTCTGAACTGGGGAAGTGTGGGAATGGAAGTTAGAAGACTCAACAGGTGCCCTGTGCTCCCCAGTTCCCATCCACCCCTGTTCTCTGCACTACTGATGGGTGCACTGCTGCACTGAGGGGTGCCTCAGGAGCCTCTTAAAGTGAGCCCATAAAGAGATCCTTCCACCCCACGCCCCTGCCCTTGCTGTGTGTGTCCTGAGACTAACCCCATCCTCTCTGATCTGGCCAAACGTATTTAAACAAATATACACTCTGTCTGATCCACATGGCTCCGTGTAATTTAGGTCAGGTTTGTCTGTCTTCAGCGGAGATAGTCGCGGTCATACTGCTCGGGACTCTGTTTTTGGTCAGGGTCTCATGTAGCCCAGGCTGGCTTCAAACTTCTGGTCTTCCACCCAATTAATGTGGTGTTGGGGATCAAGCCCAGAGCTGCATGTATGCTCTGAAAACACTTGACTAACTGAGCTTCGAAGCTCAGTAAACATAACAGGCATGATCACATGAAGGAATTGGATGTGATCGTGTAAAAGATTTTCATAATGAGCTATGCATTTGTTGAGTGCTTTGGCCACAGGTGTCTGCTAACATACTGTTTGGGATATTTTTACATATATTACCTCATTCAAGTCTCTAAAATAAACAGTTTCTGGGGCTAGATGGATGGCTTAGGACTTAAGGGTACAAAGCACTTGATGTTCTTGCATGGGCCGCAAGCTCTGTTCTGGTACCCTAATCAGGCAGCTCACAACCACCTGTAACTCCAGAGGGTCCAACATCCTCTTCTGGTTTCCCTAGGAGCCCACACACATGTGGCATATAACACACACACACACACACACACACACACACACACACAAAATATTTTTTAAAGTTTCTTTTGCATTTAAGCAGAGAGTGGTAAGTTAATGGTGGTCATAAGCTCAGTAAGTAGATGACAGAGGATCCAATTGGGGTACCTCTGACCTTAGTCTTCCAGTCTGGACTAATGGTAGTGGTTAAGATGGGTAGACAGGGGTTGGGTGGGAGATGGCTCAGTTCCCAAAGCACTTGCCATAAAAACATAAAGACTAGAATTCTGATCCCCAGTGTCTTCATAAAAGCCAGGCAAGTGTGGTGGACTGCCTGTAATTCCAGCTCTTCAGGGCTGGAGGCAGGGACAAGGGAATCCCAGGGAGCTAACTGGCTAGCATCAGGGAGAGTGATAGAGAGAACAAGGGGCCAATGTCAGCCTCTGGCCTGCACATACACATGCATTCACATACACACAGCACACTCATACACTGCATATACACACAGCACACTCATACACTGCATATACACACCATACTCACACAGATTCTCAGTAGTCCAACACCCTTTCCTAATCTCTTTACCCTCCTCCAAAACTCTTGCTTATCCCTGACTGCTCACCTTCGTCTCCCTCCTCAGCAAGGCCTGTCCTCACAGCCACCTTCTAGGTCTGCACCCATCCTCTGGCATACGGCCCCTACCACGGAGCATACACTTGCTGACCACTTCTCCCACAACATAACAGGGCAGGGTCCTTATCATTTCAGCCCGGTCCCCCCCCACCAGCTCCCAGTATGGTGCTTGGATTTCCTTTTGGTCCCCTGAGGTCTCTGCAGGGTTCCAAGGCACCTGACTCTAATCCCAGCAACCAGTGAAGTTCTGTCATATTATGAGACGTGATGCTCCAAATCCTCCTGATGTCCTGCCAAGCCCTATCCCTGCCTGGTGTCCATTTAGGGAAAGGAATTCATGTGGCCTGAGCTACAGTGGACCAGGCCTGGAACTAAGCACAGTCCTGTTAGCTGCCTGGGTCCCATCCACACTTGGTGAGGAAGCATGGCTCTTGAAACTCAAAGCCAACTGGCCAGGGCCAGCACAGCTGCCACCACGGCCCCAATACTGTTAGGTGATGCTCATTCTCTCTCTCTCTCTTTGCCTTTTAACTTACATTTACTTAACTATTTTGTGTATGTGTGTGGGGGTGCCCCTACAGAGGTCAGAGGACAACTTGTAAGAGTGAATTCCTTTTTCCTGTGTGGCTCCTGGGGCTGGAGCTCAGATCATCAGGCTTGGTGATGATCCACAAGCACCTTTACCTGCTGAGTCACTTGGCAACTGGCTGCCCTTCTCCTTGCTCTTTAGATCAGTCTTCCAGGAAGAAGGCATGGGGCCAGGGATGGCTCCTGAGCCTCTAGCCCACAGCTATTTTCTTTGGATTAATTTAGCTCTAGATGGGTGTCTACCTATAGGCCAATCATCTATGGGCAAGAGACCTTTAAGAAAGCAGCATTGTGGGAGAAGATCCCCAAAGACAGAGAAGTCTACTGTTCCCCTAGAATACTGGACAAAGGGCAGAGACAGCCAGGGACAACTGTTGTGATATGGCAACTTGATGGGAGATGGCGTGAAGGGTATGACTTGGCAAAACACAGCTGAAAAACAATGGAGCCAGGAACAGACCACACTGCCTGCCTCTTGCCAAGTTCAATCCAAAGAGATGGGTTCCTCTCTCAACTTCTACTAGACAACTCTCCCAGCCCATTGTGGGTATGGTTTTTAGAATTTCACCCACCTGTCCTTCACTATGAAACAATAAGCTCCCATGAATCAAGGCCTATATGCCTGTCTCCTTCCAGCTACACTTCCTGAGGTGCCAATAGTCAGCTCAGGCCCCTCCCAAGCAAAGCTGAGAGGATGGTCCCCTCTTAAGCAAGAATGAGGACAGCTCCCCCACTCCCAAGCAAGGCTGAGGACAGTCACCTCCCAAGCAAGGCAGAGGATGAGCAGTAACTGCAGGAGCCTTCTTACTTCCTGCTCCATGTCTTCTGCCATGAGATGAGGTGGCTATTGGACTGTGTCAAATATGTCCACTGGAGGAGGGGGTGGACTTCTTGTGGGTCTTGTGCTATGGATGGGACTGTTTGTCTTTCTGTACATGGAGGAAACTGAGGCAGGGATGGAAATAGAAGGTGAAGTGACTTGCCAAGGCCACATAACTCAGAAGGAATGGATGTGATATTACAACACATCTTGTTTTTGTCCTTGTCTATGACCTTTGTCCCATAGAACAGTCACAGAAACCAATCTCTTTCTGGAAACTTGAATTTTTCTCCACCTTCCGGGCTTGGGGCTAGTGGTAAAGACATTCTCTA